GCTCTGTGGAGGGCGAGGAGCGGCCCCGGGGGCTCCCTGATGCCGGGGCGGGCGCTGTGGCCTGAGGCGGCCGCGGGGTGCGCGGTGCCTGGAGAGGGCGGGGCGCCGCCTGCGGGCCAGGAGCGCGCGGGTATCTAAGGTGCGTGTCTGGGAGCTGGCTTCTCAGCCCGTGGCTGGGGAGGGAGCCCGACGGGCTGGCATTGCTCTGGAGGAGGCAGATGATGGGCATGAGCGCTGAGGCTATTTCCTGGTTTTGTACATCTATGTATAAGAAAATACAATTTGTCTATAAAAGACATTATGGGGCAGTCAGTTCGCTATCAGGCGTGGCTCAGCTCCTTCGGTTGTGCTGGGCCTAGTGCCTGTTAGACCTGCTAGTGTGCCCTGGCCGGCAGCTGGGAAGGATGGCTATGGAAAGCCACGCGCCCACAGGACCACATTCCTACACTTAGGTGATTGCAGGGGAGGACATAATTCATTACGGTCTAAATTTTAGGTTTGGATGGGTATTCCTTGTTAAATATTTACATGTACTAAAAATCTAGTTTTTAGTAGAGGGTAGGAGAGCTGGAAATGCACTAATGGTTATGACTAGTGCCATGTTTAATTACATGCACTTAATTACAAAATCCAGCACTAATAACAAGGTTTAGCTCACGGTAAACCTAAGGCCTAGCAGAACATTTCCTCTTGCACAACATAGTAATTATTCAGGTACTTCTTGCTGATTGTTATACTGTAGAAATTGTATTGAGCTGTACATACACAAATCTAGATGTGAAATAATAAGAATTTTAAGATAAATTATAGAGACAAAAAAGTAGGCACCTGAGTGAGGAATTTTTTCTGTTCTTGCCAGAAATCTAAGGCAGGTTAAAAATGTTGTGGCTGTGTAAACACTATGTAGGTGTGCTGGATAGAGAGTGACAAACTATGAAACTTGCTTTTTTTAATGATTGTATATGATTTATAATTGTTTGTTAAAAGGTTATTTACATCATTGTATGTGGAGAGAGCAATTAGTGCTTAGTTTTGCTAATTGCTATGTTTTTGTCATTTGATGAGTAGAACTGGGATTGGATCTATGCCTGCTTAATTGTTAACTGAACACCACTGAAAACAGCAGACTAATTTAATATATGTATAAAGTACTTCAGAAAATGAGAGTTAACCTTTTTACTTTAGCATTAGCAAAGTATTATGGATAAGAACTTTCAAGAAGAACAGTTTACAGGAATTACTAAGTTTACACCTCCTTTGTGCAAACAACGCTACCAGTTCATTAAAGACTTAGTGGAGAAATACAAACCTAAGAAGGTTGGTATGTTTTGGGTTTTGTATGTTACAAATTTGAAAAAAGTTAACATTAGGTATCTCAGGAAGACAGGAAATGTGTAAAATAATCTGCTGGCTTAATTGCGATGAAACAACAATAGTGGAGGAGCTATTGTTAGACTGAATTGCTTTAGCAGACACTTGATGATCATGTTTTGTTTTTCAGGGGTGCGTATAATTAATGTTAATTGATGGGAAGAGGGGAGAGTCTAAACAAACAAAAAAAAGTCTTAGCCTGTTTTGGAGAGTGGGTGGCATGCTGTTTTTAATTTAAATGCTGAGGATTTTGGTTCAAGCTGCTTTCATCGTAGTTTGGTTTTGCTTTCTAGAGCTGTTAGTTCTGTACATGGCATCAGGTTTACTTCTTTATTCCCTTGGATGTTCTCAGATGAGAACTGACATTAAGAGTGTGGGATTATATGGGGCTAGCTCTCCTCTGCTTTCTTAAGGTCTTGTCGCCCCTTCCTGCTTCCTCCCTCCCCATTATACCAGGGCTCTTGTTTTGATACTCATTTTGAAAAGTTAAATAATTTAAGTAGTGTTGTGTAGTGTTTGTTCATTTCTAATATGTCCTCCCTGCTCAGCACCTCCTCCCAAAATGCAAAAAGTTGAGAAATGCTTCTGTCTTCAGTGTTTAATTCTGAAACTGATGTTAATGTCTTAAGGAGCATGCAAAAAAAATTATGAAAGGTACCTGCAGTTCACTCGCATAATCATACTTTAGCTAATCTTATCCTGTCTGTGAGGTCATGTCACTATAATCTGCTTTTAAATAGAGCATATTCAGGGGTGTTGCATCTATATTTAAAGGTTTGAATTCTCTAATTTAGGATGTAAAAGGAGGGTATATGTGTGTTTTAAACTTTCTGTTTACCCCCAGGGTAGAGCTAAACGGAATAGAAGCACTTCAGGGTTTTCACACTGAGAACCCAGCCATGTGCTTCAACCTTGTCTTAGACTGAGAAAGAACAGTGGGGTTTGGTTTGTGTTCTCAACTACTTGCTAAGCTTACAGGAAAGAATATCGAGTATATATTTGACTTTGTGGTCTGAATATGCTCAGCCTTCCCCCCTTAAATATTAGACTAAGCCTGTAAACTTGTTTTATGTAGATCCTTTCTGCTAACCTGGCTGCTGGTGAGCCTATTCTCAGTGTTTTGGCTGGAGAGTAGTCCAGTGAAAAGCTGTGGTGAATGTGAAAATTGCCACAGCTTTAATACTTAAAATCCTACCATACTGTTATTTGAGGGAATATGCTTTCATGTAGAAGACATTCTTCAGTCAGTGGGATGTTCTGCATGTACTTGTTTAGTTCTGTAATAACAAATGGTTATTTCATTTAAAAAATCTTGTAGGATCTTGATATGCATTTTTAAAAAAGAATTTTCAAATATATGTCTATCCTGCTTGCAACTGTAAATTTTAGTTATGGTTGTGAAATGTATCATTAAGAAGCTGTCTTGACATAGGGAATTTTTGTTTTATGAAAGTCTCTGAAATTGCTTGGAAATATACAGTATTTACATATTGTTTAATATCTGATTTACAGGTGGCAGATTTAGGATGTGCTGACTGCACGCTTCTCTGGATGCTGAAATTCTGTAGTTGCATTGAAGTGTTAGCTGGGCTAGATATCTGTGCAAGTGTAATGAAAGAGAAAATGTAAGCTCTTGCATTGTGTTAATTTAAGGTTTGTGTTTGGCTTGACCTAGTGGCATGTTACATCATATTTTGTAAAGAATTTAAAAATGAGGATAAATGCAGAAATAGCAGATTGGCAAATGAAGAGCTCTCCACTGTTGTTAATTACTTGCATTCCACCTGATTACTTACATTGCACCTGTGTCTGGGGACTACTGGGCTTGTAGATGCCCAGTATATGCCCATTATAACCTAATGTAGCAAAGGTCCAAATCATAGAATGTCCCTGAAAGTGTGTACATCTAAGTAATACACTGTTTCTAAAGGTACTAATACCTTGTATTAGTAGTGTCGATGCTCATACATGACATTATGCGATATGCAAATCTGATCTTTTTGAAATGTGCTTGTAACTTAGTCGCTGTAGTGGGGGCTTCATTCTTGTTAATCCTTTTGAAATGGGGAGGTTGGCTCAGTGTTTTGTATCTGGCTTAAAAGGCTCTAAAACACCATGTTTATGTGATCTTTGAAGCATGGGTCAGACTGGTGAAGAACACTGAAGTTTCCTTCTTGAAAGCTGATTAATAAGGTTTGAATTAATATGTAGGATCTAAATGCTGATATTATCACTTGTTCTTTCTCAAGAGTGAAGAAAAGTAGCCTTTTATTATATTTAATGTTTATTGTGTGTTTTGTCTGATGCAGTATTTAATAATGAAATTGGCACATATGTTTTAGTTCTCAGTATTTTATCTGGAAAAATAGGTTAATATGCTTGCCTAATAAATTCCCCAAGAACCCTGTAAAGCATGTCTAAGCCAGCCTTACTGTCTAAAGTTGAGCTACTGTCAGAATTTAGAAACAACTTTCCAAATGGCTTGAGAGTATAGTGGAAATATTGGTAAACATGAAGGACGACTTCTGGTTTAACTCCTCTGCTCTTTCTCTCCTATTGTGGATAGTCATAAAAAGTGCTTGTATTGGATTTTATTTTTTTTTTTATCCCTGTGAAATAGTTAACCTTTTTGAGATTTACATGCTATCTATGTAGGGTGTTTGCTAGTTCAGTTATATGCACAATTTATCTTGTCCTAAGCCCTTTTATGACATCATGGTTTTAATACTTTTGTAGGCATAGGCTGTCTCCTCTTCCTGTTGATTACTTGCAACCACCTGAAAGATCTCTGACTGTTATATTGCTTCATGGTTCAGTTGCCCATAAAGATCCTTGCATGCTTGGTTTTGACTTGGTAACGTGTATTGAACTGTGAGTATTAGGCCAACATACTATGTTGTTCTAAATTAGGGTTTGGTTTGGAATTTCATCCATACTCTAAATGGGCTTGATCAAACCTTTCAAGCAGAAGAGTAACAGAGGGTGGCATATTCTAACTTGTGCTTAAACTAACCATACTAAGAAATTCAAGTGTTGCTAGCTTATGGTGGAAAAAGGATATTTCTGAAAAAGTACAAAACGCAAGAGGAAATTTTTCTCAGACAAAAACCTCTAAGCTGCCACTCAGCCATAGTGCCAGTACTAATATTGCAGAACTAGGCTTAAAATTAGAAGGTACTGATAACAGGTTTGGGGCTTTTTTCACTGGTTGTTAAGATGACTAAAATATAGTATGGTGTTTTTAAAGACATACATAAACTTGTCCTTTACAGAATAGAGCACCTGGAAGAATCAGAACTAAAGAAGTTTCCTGAAGTGGTGTTTGGTTTCATGGCTCCAAGCCTAGTTGTGATCAGTACTCCAAATTCTGAATTTAACCCTTTGCTTCCAGGAGTGACATTATTCAGGCATCCAGACCACAAATTTGAATGGAACCAAGTGCAATTTCAAAGCTGGTAAGTTTATTGAAAATCATATGCAGACAGCTTTGGGTGTTCAGTAGTGTGAGAAAGGAATAGCTATACATTTTCAGAATGGCTTGTGTTTGTGGTTTGATGTCAGTTGAATTTCACACCTAAGGATTTGGTGAAACATCGGTGTTATAAGTAGTTAAGCATGCTCTGTGGGTTCTGCATTTTATTATGGTTGTTGGGTTGCTTTTACTTTAAGTGCTCTGCAAAAAATACTTAAAACTTTTACTTTCCTTTTTATATATCTTTATTACAATTAATGTATTTGAAGTGTATGGTATTGATTAACTTTTTCACATAATAATACCCTGCTCTAGAAATGCTTCATGAAAACCCTAAGAAATGTCCTCATTATGTATGGTGTATAATTAAAGCACTCAATTAGTCTACACCTTTCTGTAAGAGTATGCAAGCAGATTTCTTAAATAATCACAGTAGCAGGGCATGTTAAATAAAGTTAAGGATAGTTTAGTGGGTCATGGCACAATGAAAGATTTTATACAAAACATGTCTATGTGAGATAGTTGCATTAGATTTATCTTACTCTAATTTAATCAGCAGATGTAATAAAAACCAAGAGGGAGTGCTATATATATCCTGTGGTAATATTCAACTGTCAGTCAATTGTGTAAGAAAATATATGGTACAGTAAAGGATGTTATACCTCAGTAGCCAAGTATTGGTCAAAAATTGTATCTTGGAAAATTTGCCCCTTAAATTAGGTTGTTTCTGCCATAGACTTTACAGTATGCAGTGATTTTTGAGTATATAGCTTTGCAAAGCCTGAGGCATATATTTTTCCCGTAAATAATGGTACTATAACCTGCCTGCATTGTTAGCTAAAGGGTGAATACCTTAGACCATTTATATCATCATAGCATCAGAATGAGTTGGGTTGGAAGGACCTTAAAGCTCATCTAGTTCCAACCCCTCTGCCCCCCTTCCAGTAGACCAGATTGCTCAAAGCCCCGTCCAACACTGCCAGGGAGGGGGCAGTCACAGCTTCTTTGGGCAACCTGTGCCAGTGTCTCACCACCCTCTCAGTAAAGAATTTCTTCCTTGGATCTAATCTAAGTCTACCCTCTTTCAGTTTAAAACTGTTACCCCCGCTTCCTATCCCTACACCCCCTGATAGAGTCCCTCCCCAGCTTTCCTGTAGCCCCTTTAAGCATTGGAAGGCTGCTATAAGGTCTCCCTGGAGCCTTCTTTTCTCCAGGCTGAACAACTCTCGCAGCCTGTCCTCACAGGGGAGGTGCTCCAGCCCCCTGATATCTTTGTGGCCTCCTCTGGACCTGCTCAAGCAGTCTGTGCCCTCCTTATGTTGGGGTCCCCCAGAGACTCCAGCTGGGGTCTCATGAAAGTGGAGCAGAGGGGGAGAACCCCCTCCCTCAACCTGCTGGCCACACTTCTCTTGATGCAGCCCAGGACACAGTTGGCTTTCTGGGCTGTGAGTGCACATTGCTGGCTCATAGTCGGTTTTCCATCCACTAGTATCCCTAAGTCCTTCTCCACAGGGCTGCTTTCAATCCACTCATTGCCCACCCTGTATTTGCTTGGGATTGCCCCAACCCATGTGCAGGACCTTGCACTTGGCCCTGTTGAACTTCATGAGGTTTGCACAGGCCCACCTCTTAAAGTAAATTTAGATTCTGGTTTTGGATATATGTGAATTAAAAATGTTGGTATCACTGAAGGAGTGGTATTTTTTGAGCTGCAAACATGAGAAAGTCTTTGTGTTGTGAAATAGAACTATGGCAATAATCTCTAAAATTGGGGTACTAGTTTAGTTTACTACTTTTTCATAGAGGATGATGCAGGTAGGTAGTGCCATTTTTGTTCCCTGCACCATCACTTTTCACACTGGCTGATGTACAGTACTACAAGATTGGTTTTCATTTGGATGTCACATACATTGTTGTAACCTTGATTAGGTAGACTATACATCTACAAAGGCCTCACTTTTTTCATTCTGTTAATTGGTCTCTTGCAGTTTTGGGGTCTGTGTGTTTTTATGGGTTCTCAAATAATTTTGTTCTCTGAAGTTGGTAGTTTTTAGCTCACTTTCCATGCATTTAAGACAGTGAGTAAGCAACTGAACATGTATGGCCTATGCAGATATTTTAGAAATAACAGTAATGTTTGGTTGTCTGAATTAACCAGTACTAAATGATTTGGACTATAGTAGGCCTATGATGACAGCTCTGAGCAAGTTTTGCACTGCTTATCTTCAGGCATGTGAGTATTATTAGAGAAATTATGCTCAAGCATTCACAGGCTCAGGCTCTTGCTTCTATTAAAGAATGAATCTGTCACATTAAAATATTAATATTTAGTATGATCAGAATAACCTGTCTTTCTTAGGTCTCTAGAGATTGCTAGACAATATGGTTACTCCGTGGAATTTACTGGCGTAGGTCACCCACCAACAGGAATGGAGAATGTTGGGTTTTGTACCCAAATAGGTGTGTTTGTTAAAAAATACCCTCAAACCAGTGAATCTGCTCAGTCTGAGACACCCACTGAAGGAGTTTACAAAACAGTAAGTATCGTTTTCTTCCTTTAGGAGGATGAATAGAGAGTAAAACTGTGATCTGCCTGTGAGGGTGTTCTTACTATGGTCTACTATTGCTAGCCAGTCATAGCTCTGATTAACATACATCAAGAATCTAAGTCTGTGATCTGTGTTTCTAATTGTATAAAGGCCTTTAACTTTTAGGTTATTTGCAAAATGGCAATATGGATAATCATTTTAATATACTGTTGTCCTTAGAATGACAAATCTCCTTTGTGCCAGGTATACTGTGACACTGTTTTTAAAATTGTTTCTCTAATAATTTGCTTTTTCATCATGTGGTTGGTGGCACTGACACACATTTTTCAGATACATAAAAAATAAAAAGCATAAATAGCATTTCTAACAGTGTATGTTTTGAAGAACTGCATAGTCTTGTCAGATGTATTATCATAAGGAAGGCATTTCCCAAAAATTGGGTTGACAGGACCTGTTTTGTGTGGTTTGCCTTAGTACCATTTGATGTTACACCCTAATCTTGGTGTTCTCAGGTAGTGAGTTCTGTTTTTTTGCAGAGACATGGGATCTTGCTAGGTACCCTGTTCTCCAGTGGTGCACATCAGACCCTTTTGGTTTTTAGCACTAAATGGCTTTCACTTTACAAAAATATCTGAGGTTATCTAAAGTACTCTGCTGTGTGGCAGTGTGTCATGCTGACAGAGCCTGATGTGTCTGTGCCATGTGATATAAATCAAAGGAAATGTTTTTCAGAGATAACATGAAGTAATAATGCAGAAATAAATATATTGGGGGGTTTTAATCTTATGAGGCCTTATTTATTTCAGTGAACATATTCTAATATTTCACTTCTTGATTTAAAGATGCATATGTATGTTCGAGTGACTTGTGACCTGTCTTCTGTAGTTTCCAAGCTATAAAGACATTATACATCTGAAATTTCACCTGTCATCTACTGCCCTTAATGGAATCATGAAGTGCTCTTTAATGCTCAGCAGACTTGAAAATATGCCTTGGTTACTGATGTGTACTAGGAATTGCTTTCATTATCTTCTGTTACAGGGTCATTATGGAAGGAGTTTTGACATCAGTATCCTTTGTGTTTAAACAAGAGTGTTATATCTCGTGTTTCTTATCAAACCTGGACTATCAAATTTTTATTTTATGCCACTAATTTATGGCAATAAATTAGCATTTCAAGATGTAATCAGAAAGTAAGAATTAATGGGTATAGACTGGAACTTCAGTGATAGTGTGTTGGTATAAAGCACTTCCTAGGAAACATAGTGGGAATGAGATTGCCTGGTTTCCTTAATTGTCTTGGAGTATAGCTCAGTGTAGAGCACACTACAGGTTCACAGATTTTGATGTCACAATTTATTTCTTAGCATTCTCTGCATCTATGAGAACATATTTAATGTTTACTCCAAAAGCACAATGAAGGAGATAGCTGCAGTCCCAGTTTCCAAATGACAGTTCAAAAGTAGTTTAGAATCTCTGTAGCTGTGAAACTGTCACAAGAGCCTCATGATGAGTACTGTGGGAAGTAAGAGAATGATGAAAAAGAATTAAGGAATTGCAGGGCTGCACCTTGCCTGATCTACAAGTATAGCTTGCAGATATAAGCCTGCTTTTTTGGAAGTTCCCTTAATTTATCTAATTGCCATTGTAGCTGTAATATATAAAATCAAGTCATACTGTCTAGTTTTTCTGTTATCTGAAAATGTTTAATGATCAAAACAGTATTGAATCAAAAATTGTGTTCACATTTTAGAAGCTCTTTCTGACAAGCAAATGTTAAAACCTGAGCCTATGATAATGATAAACATTTTGTGTTCTTCTATGTTGTAAAGGTCTTCAGAGCAGTGTATCCAAGTCTTAAAGATGAGAAGTACCTGCAGAATGCAGTGGTCAGTGAAGTTATTTTCACAGCACAAATCATTAAGCGACGTCTGCTGGACCGTTTAATGTCAGAACATGAGGAATATAATGATGATACTACTGAGAGAAAATCCAAATTCCAACTTTTAATGAACTGTTTTTCAGAAGATCTTGGAAAACTGGTGGTTGAAAAAAGCATGGAACCTTTTGTCAAGGGAAAAGTGGTTTATATACCTCTTAGAACAATCTTTTCTTTTCCCAAAGTGAATCAACTTTGTAGTACCTTTGAGAAATTATGCAAGCTTATTGCTACCAAGGTCACACTGAGCAGTGATGGTTCTGCTGTGATGTTCAATATTGAACATGAAAACAAAGAGAATTAGGTCACAGATTTCTCATACAGTTGAAGTAATAAAAGTGGGGTTTTAGTAGTTGTCAAATGGTTCTGTATGCTAATTAGAACCACAAAATCTTTTCTAAACCTTTCAGTATTTATCCATCAGCACTTCTGAGTGCTTCTGACAAAGATCACAGTAACTCCTAAGGTTTTGAAGTAGAGCATCAGGGGCTAAAAGGAAAGAATTCATTCCCGTGAAGAGAAATTTTAAGTGGTTCTGTTGGTTTTCTGTAACCATATTACAGCTATCATGACTAGATTCTGTTTGGTAATCTTTTTTTAGCTCCCAGGATAGTTGATAATAACACAGAAGTATGTTATGCTGAATAATACAAGTCGGCCATAGGTTTAAGGCAAGTTTTTTTCAATAGAGTAAAATATATAGATGCCTTTTTTCAAGAGCAGCACATACTCAGCCTTTGGGAAAACCAAATATTGTTCCAGATAAATTGGAATATGCCACAAACATTTGTAGCTCAGTAAATTCAGTATTGGGGAAGAATATTATGATGTTGGATATAAGGGGGGGGAAAAGTGTAGATTTAGCTCTATTGTGTTATCCAGTTTCTTTAACTGCTGCTTGGGAAATAATTTGCATCCTGTAACTTTTCAGAAGTTGAACTTAATTGAAACTGGTATCTTTGTTCTGTGTTTGATAAAAATAAATTTAAAAATCTGTTACTGTGAATTCTAATCTGGCCCCAGTGTACCTGAAAAAAATTTTGTGTGTTCATGTGCAGTTGTCCAAAAAGTCTTAACAACATAAATGAAAAGCAGAGGTGTTCTAGGTAGTAGAGCTTACTGACTTGGCCAAAATGACTTTTTCTTAAGTAGAGCTGAATTGTATGTGTCAATGTGTAGTAATCAAGTGTTAGATGATGGACTTAATGAAGACAAATTTTTAAGGATGCACAGGATTGGCTTGTTCATACAGGATTAATGAACACTGCAGTTCTCTGAGCTTCTTTGTTGACTCAAATTTTTTTAACCAACAATTTTAATACTTCAGATGAGTATTTCTTACAAGTAATGAGATGGTTGAAAGGCCTCATTCTGCGGATGTTTCACAATGTCATTGGTATTTTTGAGCTAATATTTTCAGAACATGAAAGTTTCGCAACTTTCTGAAAATAAACTCCGAACTTGCCTTAGTATGTTAAAAAATATGTAAAGTTCAAAATTGATTATTATTTGGATGCTAAGCAGCATAGCTGTTTGAGAGTAGCATTGGCTTCTTATGAGGAAATACCATTGCAGTTCACTATGTGTTTTACTATGGTTAGAAGATTTCTGGACCATGGAACTTCTTCCTGTGTCATTTCTTCTTGAAACATTATGTATTTAATGTACTTCAGAGTATGAACACTTTAAAATGATGAAAAGGGAACAGAAGGTCGACCTGTCAGATTTGCATGATACTTGCCTTGAATTTTGTATTCCAGTAACATTTAATTACAGGAATGTCTTGTGAACAGATAAAACTGTATAGGAATACATGCTTGTTTTTCTTCAAAATGTTAGACTCTTAAGGCTTTGTAGCTACATTTGGAAAATGTTTTATGTGAATATTTGGTGGATTGAGGTGAAGGGGCCTAAACAGTAATCGACTTTTTGAAGGGTTTGTGGACCCTTTTCCCCCTCTTTGTTGCAGGGTTTAGTTTTTAATGATAGCTAGAGCAAATACCAATTCTTACATTCTTGTTTATGCCTTTCCTGGGAAAACTACAGATGTTTGGCCCTAGGTGCTCACAGTGTTACATGAACTGAAACTGAAAAGCTATTACATATCGTATACAGAAGTGCTATTAAGAAAACATGTATTTTAATTGAGACTGCTAGTTTTACTAAAACAAGCTATGCTATTTTGTGTGTCAGCTTTCCACTGGCTTAATTTTAATTAAGATTTTCTTTACTGAAGTAACAGTCTTTTCAGGAGCAGTTAAACCCTTTCACAGGATTCACTGTGCATAGTTCTTCATTATCAAGTTGGTCTTTTGATGATAAATGCGGTATTTGTGTCCTGCTTAAACCTGCAGCTTGAAACTAAGGTCAGGTCTGATGTCTCAAAGCAGGATCCTGAAAGGAAGCTTATGAAGTTTTTGGCTGTATATGGCAATATCACTGACCAGGAGATGGCACACACATCTCAGAACAGATCAACCTTGGGTTGTTCACAATTGTAAAATCCAGTTAAAGAATTACTAAAAAAACAAACAAAAAACCCTATACCAACAAAAACCCCATTCAGCAGAAACCCAGTGTGTTATCCTGAGTATAAGGGAACTAACTTGATAGCTGTTGAGCAAGTTAGTAGGGATTAATTATGGTCAGAATAGCTGAACAGAATGTTTCTGATCAGTGTTTTAAATTAATAGCAAAGTTAGGAAATTGTATAAATAAATTCAAAAAATATCCCCTCACTTACTTTAATAAATAAAACCCAACTGCCTAATTGTGAGAGCCAGAGGAGTTAATTGTCTCTCTCTGCAGAGATTTCTCAAACAAATAGATCTTGCAGCTAATAAACTTGTCCTGTCTGCCCTGTGTTTCCTTGGGATTAGGCTCTAGTCCATGCTTGTTTTAATTATGTTGATAAATGAGGTTTGGATCATTCAGTTACAGCTGGGTTACGTGTAATTCACAAAGGTTAGTTGTTGGGATGTTTTTGGCTTTCTATTTAAACTGAGTAGAAGCAGCATAGGAAGGGGCTTCTGAAATGACAGAATTCTTTGCAAAAGTCCTTTGCAGTTTCTTTCTCATTCACAAAACAAACACATTTTAATGCAGTCCTGTAGGCAGGCAGTTCACTGGGAACATCACCAAAATAAAATGCACTGACACTAGCATATATTCAAATGAGGATACTGTTGAAGCATTAGTAGGCTGTAAGAGAAGGCAATAAAAAAAAAAAAAGCAAACCAGAAAACTAGTGCTGCCTTTACAAGTTTATGAACAATTTTAGTTGTGATTGGAAGGACAGTGCCTACAACTCTGAACTTGAGCAGAGCTTTGTTAGCATGTGCAGATTTGCCTTCACATTAAAAAAGAAAAAACCCCAGTTACTTAATTTCTAGTTTTTAATGAGAAAGCAACAACATGAAAATAACCTGTCGCACAGAGATGTTAACAAATATATTAAGATGTTTGCCTTTCCCCTTCTTGTTGGCAGATCCTCCTGTGAGTCTGTACAGGGAATTGAATTCACTTAGAGTGATGCAACAGGTGGGAAGAAGAAAGCAGGCAAGAATGAGCATTTGAGTAGAGAGAAGGTAGAACTACTTATTTTGCCTCAAGAATTACAGAAAGTTTTCTCCTATGCTAATCTTAATCTGTGGTGTTTTCCCATGTCAGAAGGTCCATAAAATGCACCTAATTGCTGTTACTGAACATTCAGAGTTCTGGTGCTTCACATGCTCTTCTTTTCTGTAGTAGTAAAGGAGAATCTTTTCCCATATCACAATAATGGTTTTGCCTTCATATATTACATGTATATGTAGGTGCTGCATAGGCTTACTTTCATTCATGAGAAGTTTTCCTTCCAGATTAAAGAACTGTGTCTAAATGACTCGTTTTCCCTACAGCATACACATCAATGACCCAGTGTGAAAAAGCATAGAAAAAGTAAAGCATTTTTAAAAAGTAGAAAAAACAAGTAGAAAAAGCAAAGTATTTTTGAAAAATCCCCTAGTCATATTTGCAGCTGCTGGTATTCAGGAAGGTATCTAGTATCTATGAATGTTATACATGAATATATATATATAAAAAAAATGTCATATTTCTGAGAGAACTCCCCAATGTGAGTTCCTTAACTGGAGGATTTGTTTGCTGATGAGATTGGCCTTTTATTCTGTAAGAAAACTATTCATAAAACCAGAAGAAAGACAACAACCCACAAAAGAAATTCTAGGATATTCTGCTGAAATTTTAGGAAAATTGTCTTCCTTTTTGAATTCAAAGATAGCTGAGTCTGGAGTAGGTTATGCATGGTACTGTTACTTCTCTTAATCCTTGCTATACAGTTTGATTACTCAGCTGATCTGAGTGCCAAACAGTTTACCAATCTAGCTTTTCTAATGTAAGAACAGATGCTTGCTGCAGTATCAAAAAACTTGGTTATTTTGAATGCATGGATGAGAAAAGAAATACATACCCCAGATAGTTTTGTTAGAAAAACAAGAAGGTAATTTACAAAGTTATACAAACTGTATGAGAAGTTCAAGTAGTAAGTCTTTAAACTCAACTGAGGAGGATTCACTTTGTCATTTGCAAGGTGAGGAGGAGTATACACAGTGCCCTCTCTGTCTCCAAATACTGCTGGTGTGGAGTCTGTTTAATAATTAACCTACATATATGCCTTACTTCAAAACTATTTTTTCATTTGCTTAAGACTGACATTACTTTCCTTCTCCAGGAGACAGAGAAAAATCTATGTACTAGTAATGGTGCCATTACACACTTTGTGGACTGGAGATGAAGTTTAATAAACTGCAGAAGTAAAGTTTGAAAAGCAGTAGAGAAACTGAAATAGACACAAACTTCTAGTTAAGTTTGGGTTTGCATGGAGAAAAAACCATAATTGCTTAGGAACTATTACAAGCTGAAGACATGAGTTTATTGAATGTCTAATAGATTTGTATTTAAATACAGTAAAAAAAAACCCAAAGCAACAAACCACCAATACATCCCAAATGGTTTACTGTGAGATTCTCCAGTATTCTTGTAACAGTTTACAAAAAAAAAAACCCATACCACTACATCGAAATAGGAAGGTTACATTCCACTTATTGTGCACAATTAGAGAATCACTTTAAAGAGTTACAACTCTAAGTCATAACAATAAATTACTAGGATACAGTTTTATTAAAAGCTTGATTTCTATGTAAACTTGCCTCCTATTTAAAAGATCTGCTCAGGCAAGAAAATGGTTTCTAGTCAACAGTGTCTAATCTATGGCAGTTAGCTGTCTTTTTTAACACAATACAAATCTGGGCTACGGAAATTCCCTTAAGAATTATGTAAGTAGCTGTACAATGTTTTTTAAAAGTCTTGTTTTCTTCAAACTATGCCTATTTTTCCTAGTAAACTTAAGCTACCATCTACTACTAGTTTTAATAGCTTCGTCAAGTGTAGCAGTAAGGAGTACTGAAAGCAACTAATTGATTCAAATTTCATGCATCTTTTGACTTGTAGGAGGATTTTTCTGGTTTAAATTAGTTGTATAACAGGCAAGGAAACTGTCATGTTCCGAGAGATAGTTGTATACAACTAGTTATGTGGTTTCTGTTTAAGATTCCTGTGGAGGACAGAAATGGGTAATACCACACTTCTATTAACAGCAGCTAAAATACATTTGTGTTAATTCTATTACCCATTAAAACACTTTAAAGAGATTAACAGTAGGAAATAAAAATATTTAAGTACCATAACTGAGAAACAGCTCTTGTTCATCATATTCAATAACTGTACTCAAGCTTTAAAATCTCAACTTTCCTAAAAAACCAAATAAATAGTTTAATTCTACTGTGGATTTATGGATAAGAAGGCCTGCTTTTCGTAATTAAATATGGCCTTCAGTAAAAGGGTGTCAAACATAACTCTGAGCAGAATTTGAAGCACTCAGAGCTTTCAGAAATGGCCATGCTATTTGTATTCTTTTTTAATACAAGCCTTACTAATAAACAATACAACTAATCATAACAAAATTAAGGGCATTTGCAGTTTGCAATTAGAGCAGAGCCAAGCCTGAACTAGAAGTGTCACCTAACACATCCCTTTAAAAATTGATTTTCTTGTAATTCTTAATGAAAGTTTTAAGAGATCCTTCATCTTTCTTCTGTCAGGCAAACCACTATTTGTGCAAATTTAAATACAGTACATTGACCTTAATCTAACAGTGGACAGATAGTCAAGGGAAGCGTTCAACAAATCTGTTGCACAGTAAGACTTTTTCAGAGTATGTTTACAATAAAGTGCTTCTCTTAATAAGTTATATTGATTATAACATAGATATTTGCTGAGTTTTAAAGCTTAAATTGCTTGGTAAATAGTTTAATCTCCCTCTGCCTCCCCAATCCTGCAAGGCACATTCAAAACACAAGCAAAACACTAACTGTGAAGGAGTAAGCTACAATAAAAAGTTTTAAGTGGTAGTAAACTACTGCTTAGGTTTGTAAACAGTACCATCCCATTGAAGTGATTGCTTCTGTAGAAGCAGCTTTTGAACTCCAGAGTTAATCAACCCAGCTTTCTTGATAATACATTACTGTTCCTCAGTATTTTGATGTGGAACCCTACTTCTTTTGTCAATTGCACAAAACCAGATGTCACATTTGATGCATTTAAGCCTCTGGAGTTCATTTACAGTTAACACATCTCATGACTGGCTGGTTTAGATCTATTTAGTTTGTTTTTTTAAAAATGCATATGAAGTTCATCTCTACTTTCAATCTTACAATGAAGTTAGACTCAGTACTCTTAAATAAGTTTTGGTTAAGTTAAAACATAGCTAAACTGTTTTGTGGAGGCCTTAATTTTGACTCAATGGAAGTAATTAGCTTCTGTAAGACTAAAATGGCAGGTAGGATTAAATTGACTATTGAATTTCTTCAGGTTCATTTAAGACCAACTTTCAGAAGCTTCTTTAGAAAATAAATTACAAAGTACACCACAAGTGATCTTCTATATAAAATAGTGAAATGGGACTCACTTCATCATGCTTCCAAAAATGTTTCACACAACTTGAAAAGCAAATAATTCCACTAACATCAGATAGAGCTTACAAAAACAGTTCAAATGCTCACACAAGGTATACATAGCTAAACATTGCCTTCATACCACAGAAGATGAAGCTCTGAGCAAGAGGCATTCCATTACTTTTCAAAAAAAAGTTCCCATTGAGTTCATTTTGGCTTTCACAGCTCTTGTAACAGAGCAAACAAAAACAGAAGTATCAATGCCAGAGCTCCAAGTTTTTGTTTGTCATTCTAGTCTAGCGTTTTATCACCACCTGCTCATATGCTCCAGATCCTGCTCTGAAAGAATATTTGAAAGAAGTTAGTTCAATTCCAATTGGAGTGGAAGCTATACAGCAAGTATCGCAGATCAGCAAGTTTACTGTTTTAAAAAAAGCCCCAACCAACCAACACCACCTCCCCACCCCACCCTCCCTCAAAAAACCCCAACAAATAAATCCCAGTCAAACAGCTAGTACCAGAACAGCTACATGTGAAGGGTAGAAAACATGCTTAATTACCCTGCCACTGAGTAACCTAGAGTTTAATGCATTAAAGCATTTTGTGTTATGATACAGTCAAAATGAAGAATGATAAATAACACAAGTTACTGACAAGTTACTGTTGGACTCTGTAGTTCCTTAAACAGTACCTTTTGGGTACTCCTCCCACCCCAGCTATTATCATATGCAGCTAACACTTTTTAACCTACATTTATACATAAAGAGATACACGTGTTTAAAAAAAAAAAGGTTAGGCTTCTTATGTTAAGATACAAGAAAAACATCTTCGAGTCTTTTGTTCACGCTGAATTGTAAACAAAGCTGCCTCATCCCCCACCATGACAGAGCACAGTGGGTTGTTTTACATGGCAAATTGTAGTCCTGCATAAAAATTAATATGGCAAACTCTGCCCTAGTATAATATTCTGGATTTAGTATAATGCCTGAACTGTTCCAACAACTGAATTAGCACAGATCTCCCTATTCTACTATAGTGTGCTCTGCAACCCCTGCACATTAGTGCGCCCAGTTTGCAAACAAGCCAATGACTTATCTTTCAACTGTCAATATTACTTGCATAAAATGCATTTCTTTTATGATTTTCAATGCATTATTGACCACCTTTATACCTAATTCCAGAAGTACTTGCTGAAATACTGATGCTATGCTAATTTATTGAGATAAAGAGAATCTCAAGGGTTACACTGGACTGTTTTCTCATATGAGAAGACCAATACATTCAGGTAAAGTCACATATCAGACAGAGTATTTTAAGAAGGTTTAGAAAAGAAAAAATTTCTCTCTGGTTCTAAAATAAGACCATAATCTGAAGCAGATTATCAAAGGAGAGTGTTTAGGGCTACAAATAATTGAAAGATGAACAAGCCATTGAAACAAATAGTGTAGCATATGGAAAAGAGAAGGAGTTGTGAGCAAAACTAAGTGAAGAAAATTAGCCTTGTTCTCAGGAAGACATAAAAGTTTGATCCTGTAAAGGCAGATGTGTAAACCACTTAAGACTTTCTTCCAGGTCCAGAGAGTAACATAGTAAATCTACAGAGCTAAGATTTCAAACTGGTTCCTATTTCCTCGGTCCATACTGAAACATTGCTGATATGTGAAAAACTTTGGAACTGAGACTCTTCAGAACCCCTAAAAGTTCTAATTCTTATGGCTGACACATCGGTTCTATTTTGGAACTAACCTATGTGTTTTGTTTTAAAATTTGACAATCTAGTTCTTTTGGTGCTTTTAATACAGAACAGAAAGATACAAAGATCAAGTATATATATCTAGAATAATTACTGTATAAGATGCATTATGGTTTAGTATTACCTACGGATTTTTTCAGGCTACATACCTGTTAGATGAATGATGGCTTCCAAAAGAAGTGCTTCCGCCCGGGCCCACAAATAATCTTAAACCTTCTTCTAAAAAGCAAGGGAATATAACATATATAAGCTTCCTTTAATGTTGCCCTAGCTAAAACTGAGTAATTTTAAATCTGCCAGATTTGTAACTGGTACTTTCAGATGCAGATGTTTTAAGTAATAAAGCAACAAACTTCTCATGGTATAGGCTGGAGGAACTATCTTCATCGTAGATTTTTCCCTGCTCTTTTCATGCTTAAAGTGATTCTGTGAGAAAGTTACCCGAGTCATGCAAGGGTCTTTTCAACTTCTGGGAGACAGGATGAAGCAGAAAATGCAGTGATCCATATGCACAGTCCCTATGATTACAAGCAACAGGGACCATGAAGAGAGTGGATATTCCTAAGGCCTGTAACATGCACCAGTTTTCCCTAAGCTGCTTATTTATCTCCATACCTTCTGCACTTGAGTCTAAAGTGAAGTCTTGACTCTGGAGTATTTTTTCAACTATATCATCAGCATCAACTCTGGTAGCATCAACTCTTTTCAGCTGTGACTCCACAGAGTCTTGCTTTACAGGATGCCTGCAAAAAATAAATTATTTAGAGCTCTTAAAAGTGATACAGTAAATTACGTTTTATTTCTGCTAGGAAAGGCTTTAAAGTTAAGTGTACCTGCCAAGTTTTTCTGATGGTGCAACTTTAACAGATGTATCAGTATTAGCTTCAGTTACTTTTGTCTCAGTCTCTTCACATGGCTCTAGAATACTTCCAATTCCTGTTGAGGTACTACCCACCGAAGTGTTTCTCCTGTGGCAGAGTTCAGACAGACTGGATGATCTAGAGTGACATGTGCTATATCCTGTTGGGAAAGTGTAGGAGAGCTAGGTTAGGTATGTTCTTGATAGCCAAGATCATTACTTGTATCTTACCATCCCAAAAGCAGAATTTGGGGTTTGTCTTCTTAGAAACTTCAGAAGCTTTATGAATGTATGTATGTACACCAACTAAGCAATTCACTTCGGATTTTGTATTCTAGCACATGTTGGGGTTTTTTTTGTTCTAAATAGCTCTCGCTTCATAACACATATAACAACTTGGTGTCATTACTCCCCCTTCAGCTTTTAAAGTCTCCATTTAAGTTACTTGTTTTTACACATGGAAGAGGTAAAAATCTTATTCAGATACATTAATTGGAGGGAGCTAAGGGAAGAAGTTGTCTCATATCCAAACAGGTAATTCATTGTGTTTTTTAAGAGGAAAAAAAAATGTTACCCTCCCCACATCTGAAACTCCTAGGAAAAAGCTTTCAATCACAAACCATTTTTTTCTTAAACATGTAAAGTATACTTATCTTCTGTGGTCTAAAACTGAAAGTAAATAAACCCCAACAATTCAGAACACAATTGTTAACAGCTACCTGACAATTTCGACTGCTGACTTGCATAGCTTGATGTTCTGGAATGTCCACATGCACCAAGTTCATCTGGGACTGAGGCACTCTTTGATGAGACATCTGTAACACGTGCAAGTCAGATACTGTTGCTAAAGCCAGGTCTGTTATTACTTTGCCTGTAATCTTGATTAGACTCAAATGTCAGATTTCCCAGAGGGCTTAGGGACTTGACACTGGTTTTCTACAAACCCTTTGAAGATTCAAGTGCTGTAAAAGTACCATGTATGTTAACAAATATGCATTTGCCCCCCAAAAAATCATAATACATTTCTGAGTAAAACAGAGAGTACCATTGGGTTAGAAAGATTTATATGAAATGTCTTTTTAGATGTTTCTACACTGTAGACACTGAAGAGATCACCATGCTTTCCACAGTACCATAGTAGAATGGTGTGCAAGATGTTTTCTACCTGAAAAAGTAACTGTGGTTAAGACAACATAAGATTTGTTTAAGGTGCAAATTAAGCTCCTAAGAAGAGCCTGAAACTTGTTAAAACACCCACACACCCAAACACAGAAAAAAAAAAAATCCCGAATTTCAAGATGTACTAAAGTGTTTTAATAGTTTGGGGTTTTTTTCTAGTCTTAAATTTCAGAGTAACTACTTCAATTTTAAACAATACTTAGGACTTTTAACCGCTCAAAATTTACTCAGTTATACCTATGCCTATGATTCGTAAATTGAAAATCAAGGGCAAAATTTAATGCTCAGTCAAAATACCCAAAGCAAATCAAGAAATGTGTCGCACAGAAAATGAAATATTTTAAATGTTAAAAGGCAGGCTATCAATCAAATTTCTGTTCCTTCTTTCCATTAAAAAAAACATTACAAAAGTAAAAAAGAGATATTCCACTGGTGTTATCTAGGAGAGTGTGTCTCAACAAATAACCAAAGAAGGTCCCTTTGTGGGCCAACTGTCAGCATCCCTTTAATATCTGAAGTATTTAGTACATCTCCTTGAAGCTATGAAGCCAGTTATAAAAGAATTGAGAAATTAAGAGCATTATTTTATACCTGCTATGCCCAGATGTACTACTTTTAAGTTTTCTCCGCCTTTCCTGTCTTCATGCAATGATTCTGATTCTCCAGCAATTGCTATAGACATTGCTGTGGAAGGAGGCCTGTAAGAAAAAGGTGGTTAAGATTTGCTGTACTTTTGATGTAATCCCTCTAAATTGATCAGCACAGATTTTTCTTTTCAAGTAAAATGGCATAATTCATGCTGTGCTTCATGTTAATAGGCTTGTACCTTTTTTTTTTCTGAAAACATACTGCCTAGTACCCTGTTAAAGAAAAAAACACACAACCAACCCAACACACAACCAACCCAACACACAACCAACCCAACACACAACCAACCCAACACACAACCAACCCAACACACAACCAACCAAGCTTTTGCTTCTGAGCTTCAGGACATGTACAGAATCCACCCGCTCAGCCCTCAGTCATTCAGGCTTTTGGGGATCCTTGGAAAGGCTTTTCTTTTGATGATTGGTGAAGTGATATGTGTTTATTTTGAAGTTTGTTTGTTTTCTTTAAAGTGTATGAATTGCAGGATAATTTACATGCTAAGAATATACATAATTCAGTACTTCATGGAATACATGACAAGATGGTAAATTAAAAAAGAAAAAAAACCCAACAAGCTGGCATGACAGCTGGCCTACTTGGCTTGTGCAAAATAAATTAATTAGAAAATGACAAAGCAACAGTAATCTCTTGCAAGCAAATACAACTAAAATACATTTCAAGATGTTACCTAGAGGTTTTTTTAATGCTTTGTTATTTCTGATTTTGAGAACGAACTGTTGGTCTGCATACAAATGAATATTTGTTGACATTTTTAGATTTGACATATTCAATAAATTAGTCACTGTCTTTATGTACAGTAACTTATCCCCTCTTATGTTTGGAAGAGGGAAGGAGAAAGAGACAAAGCACTTCTGAAAATGTAATGTTTGTGTGACTTAACTGCCTAACATACTTCTGAAAGCAAGAACTGAATGCTTTCAGGGATGTCACCCCAGATCAGACATCAAACCTTTTAGGCTTCTTCATAAAATATGTAGCTAATTCCAGCTTGTGAAATTGTTTTAAGGTTTATTTTTCCTTCTACGAAGAACATCTGGATTAGATAAATTTTTTGTTCTGTTTGTGTTGAAAGTTTACATTCCAGGAAATGGTTATATCATCAGTTTGGAAGAAAATGCCAAGTCTGAATAATTTCTGTTAGAGATTTTTTCCTAGTGAGCCAGAAAACTATTTAGGTACTAATTTCAACTACTTTGGTACCAGCCAGTAAAGAAATACATAGTTTTATTAGCATACAAGATTAATGATTGGTTAGCTGCCTTTGAGAAATTGTTTATCAGTATCAGTGACGTGTTAATAGGTCTGACTCAAATCAAGAGGTGGTAAATAACCAGGGATGCAGAAAAGCTTTGCCCAATCAAACAAATTCAGATAATGTCCCCTTACTATTTATTCAGTATGCACAAGATGAGATTTCACAGTGTTCTGTTCTTATTGAAGGTTAGAAGAGAGGTGAAAAGGCCTTTAGTGGTGCAAGGGGACACTGAAGAGTTTCTGCAGTGAATCATCTGAGCTAGACTGGTGCAGGCAACATTCTCAGAAACAACGGTAAGGATACAGCCACAGCAGTCATGCAGAGTCTCTAGTTGTTACAGGAAACAGTTCCCAATTGTCCTAATAAAACCTACGCATCATGAGTTACTTCATACTTGCACCTCAGACTGAGTTAGGAGATGGTGCTGCTTTTCTTGGGGCTGCAGCCTCCCTGAACTTTAAACACAATCTTTTTTTATTTAAGGAAGACTTCAGTATATGTTTACCGCTACAGATTAAGCCTGTATGAGATCATTATCCCTCTTCACTGGATTATTAGGAGGGACATTGATTGCCTACATTAATTCAGTTTATGAGAGTGTTTTGCTTTAAACTAATCTGTCCTGAAGTGGTTTAGTGTGTAGTTACAAACTGCTACACTATATCTTTACAATGGAAGATACCTTTAATCCACCATAAAGTCTGAAAGTATGAATGAAAGTTGAGAACCTCCACAAAAAAGCAGAGATTGATATAACCAGGGTGAAGCTAGCAATATTTTCCAGATTATTTGCCTTAAGCTCATTTTTTCTTTTCAAGTTATATGTAATACTTGGAACTCTGCCTTAGATTGTTTGTGAAATGGCTAACATGAGAACAAGCATGTTTCAGACCAAAGGTCTGTCTGGCCTCACATCCTGTTTCTGTCAGCAGCAAACAACAGATACTAAAAGATCATGGCACACATAGCAAATATATCTCCTGCATATTCTTCAAGCATCTCCTCATCTGTAGCTTAGGTGTTTCTTGAGACTCATAAGATGTTTTATGCTTAGTAAACCTTCATAATTTTTTATTGATATGAACTGAAGAAAAATTTTACTTAAACTAGAACTCAAGGGCTCAAATTTATTTTGAAATAATTACTTCATCAGCCCCTCCCCCAGATATCTTGTGCAAACAAAATACAACTAAGTTGGTTTAAACCTGATCTAGACAAAATTGTCATCTACTGTTATGTAGAACTACAGAATCACACAATCATCAAGGTTGGAAAAGACCTTGAAGATCATCTAGTCCAACCATTAACCTAACACTGACTATTCTCAACTACATCATGTCCCTCAGCGACCTGACTCTTAAACACCTCCAGGGATGGTACTCTATCACCTCCCTGGGCAGCCCAGTCCAACACCTAACAACCCTTTCTGTAAAGAAATGCTTCCTCATATCTAGTCTAAACCTTCCCTGGAGCAACTTGAGGCCATTACCTGTTGTCCTATCGCTTGTTACTTCATTAAAGAGGCTCATTCCCAGCTCTCTGCACCCTCCTTTCAGGTGGCTGTAGAGGGCGATGAGGTCTCCCCTCAGCCTCCTCCAGACTAAACACCCTCAGTTCCCTCAGCCGCTCCTTGTATGACATGAATTAGAAAAGATTCCCATTAAACTGAAAAGCACATACCCTTCAAACAACCCAGTCTACCAACATTCATATACCAGTATACCAATTACAGAAAAGCAGTGGTATTAAGAGTCTTGCAAGTACTGATGAATTTTCTACACTGCATTCATGAAAGCAGATTCTATACATCTCTCTAAGACTATCCTTAAAATTAATGGCATTTAGGTTATTATAAAATATATCTTATAATACAAATGACATATGAGAGTTCTTCACTTCCTACTAATCAAGATAATTAAGTCATGGTTAGCAAGATAGTGGTGTTCTCTGGAAATAGGAAGCTTGCCAGTTGCACTGTTTCAGTTATCCACTAAGCTTGGGTGCCTCATAACAAAACAGCTGGTTAGAAAGAAGGCAACAATTTCATCTTACTAGGCTTTTCCCTAGCATGCCTGATTTTTCTGTCTTGTGGTTAGTTAGGGAAGCTAATGCACTCTAGCAAAACTTACATTTCCTTAAGCACAGATTAAGGATAAGAGGCCAAAGGATCCTCAATACATAGCTGTGAATTTTCCTAGCTACCTCTCCCCTCAGATCTTGCATCTTTTGCTAAATTGCATAATGTCTTTGCTATCTAAATATCTGTTAAGTGCTTTTTCTTGTACTGACTCATATCACACTTCTGGTTTTTTGTTTTTGTTTTTTTGTTTTGTTTTTTTTAAATAAATCTTTTAAAATCATCTGAGACTTCTGAATAAAAGGTGTAACAGCACATTTTCCAAACACAAGTATTAGATCACCCCAAGTATTTTCATATAAGCTTGCTGCAGGAACAGTTTCCCTGAAGTGTTTAGGGTTTGGGGTTTTTTTTCGTTTTGCTTTGTTGGTTTTGTTTTGTTTTGTTTTAATTACAGATGTACAGGTTATATGGTACTATTTAACAGCCACAACTATGATACTTTTACTAGCATTTTTACCATGTTAGCCATTGTTCAGCTACCATCCCATTTTTTTGTGGCCCCTACCTCTTTTTTTTTTTTTTTTTTTTAATATTATTGCCAGATTGGAGATATTTTAAAATGCAAATTAGAAGAGTAATTCTAAAGATGGAATGTATAACCAAAATACTATCCCACACAGATTTTTTTTTTTTTTTTCATAAACTTACATTTTAAAGCATGGGTCCCCAGACATTAGCTGCATGTTGATCAAAACCTACACATTAAGAAAACAAAACTCACTGTAAGATAAAAATTAAATTGGTCTGTGATACGTGTTCATGTCACTAATTTATACTTGCCACAAATCTTACATTTAAGTAAAATAAAATGTAATAATCACATATGCAAATAAACACATTTATGCAAAACCATATTTTTCCTTAGTAGACTTGCAAACACCACAAAATAGCATTTAAAGTAATGTGGTTGCATGTACAAGATTCTGAAAAAGACACATAGATCAAGAAGATTCTCAGAATCATTAATAGTTAAGATGACTTCAAGGGGAAAGAGACAAGAAATCTGAAAGAATAATGAGCAAACAGAATATTGTTTAAAACAGTGGGTGCTGAAGTATGTTCTTTGCTGTGTGTTTAGCAAACTGCTAGCATATGAGAACAGGTTGTGCTAACATCAGAGATGAAGGAAGCAAAATCACAAAACGTAAATAATGCCATAGGACAACAATGCATTGAGAAGGCTTGTTAGCTGGGTCAAAGCCATCAATTAAAAGTTTTTTTCCAGAAAAAGTCTATGGCTGTCTTAAAGAAATCAGAAAGTGCACGCTTAAACACTATACTCAATAGTATGAGAATTTAATCCTAATGTCTTGGTAGGAAAAGAAATTTTTAAAAAATTTACTTGTAACATTCTGTATGCAATTATTTTCAGGTTAATGCAGCTCATTCAATTTTTTAAACTCCCTGGACTAATATGAGAGAGCAGCAGGGTATTTTTTTCCAACAATGCTCACCAATTGTTACACTGATTACTACCAAATAGAAAAGGGAAAGTTCTGGGAGTCATGGAGGTGTTGAAGCTGGCTTATACATAAATAAACTAAGAGATTCACTCTTAGAAAAGGTGCCTAGAAAGTTGCCCAGTCTTAAAGATATAATTGCTACATTTATATGATTGTATTAACTTTTTCACTGTGCTTCCCTGTTCCATTTTTCAGTTCCTGTTGGAATGGGAATACCTTTTGAAAGCTTTTCTTTTACAGCTATCCCACTCCATTTCAAAGAGTAGGACAAATTCTGGTTTTGACTGCATGGATTTTAATGATTGTCTCTAAACAATGCTGATGTTTTTGCTTTAAATAGTTTTCCTTCTAGAAAGAGATTCAGCAAATATATTTTGAATTAAGTGCTTAATAATACCACTTGTTCTCTGCTTTATTAGTTTAACTATGATAAAAAGGAAACATTACTTTGAGAATAGAGTTATCCTGTCTTGTATTTTTGGTATCATAACCTTCCAGTAAACAGCGTCGAGTGGTATTTCCCGATCCAGCAAACTCTGCTAGATTTAGATCTGCAAATCCCAGCTGTTAAGAGAAAATTACAAAGTTAGTAATAAGCATATTACTAAATGAAGGTACTTGCTACATGCACAGTATTGAGTGCCACTCAACAGTAGTTTCTCTCAAATTTGAATAAGAAGATGCCTATTAAAGGGAGTAGCCCAAGGCAAAAAGCAGAAAACAAACTTTGAGTGTCAAAATCTGCCTAGCTCTATTTTCAGTTAAAAACTAAAGTCTCAAGAGAAAAAAAATTAGAGTTTTCTTTATTTTTAAAATTAAACACATGCAGAAGGTTTACTTTCATCAACCCTTTCAACATAGTAAATTCAAAGCAAAAACATTCTGGTGGTACAAAATTATGATATAATTATTAAACACACAGAATTCCAACACCACTGTGTCACTATAACACACATAATCAAATCATGGGTATTAGAGTACTATTCTGAAATTACTTTAAAAGGGCATAAAATCAGACAAAAGAAAAGGTAATTCATAAACAAAATCGGATACATCTCAGTTTACCTTTGCATATGCCTTTCCTCCTTTTAGCTCCTAGAAGAAAAAAAAAAGACATGCCATTAAGCCATTAAAGATACTGACTAGGGTTTATTTGGTTTGGTTTTTTAGAAAAGCAAATACTAATCTTCATTTTAAAATAACTCAGCACACATTTGCTAGGCTGTACTGTTGTCATTTAAACTCAGCATTAATAATGTCCTCAGTGCAGGCCAGCAGGAGACTGTTGTCTTGTGGCGGGGTGGGGGAAAGAGGGGGAGTGCCTGTTGCCGACCAGCATTTGGCTCTAGCTCCAAAGGTAGGAAGCACTGCATACAAAATTCTGCTACTTAGCGCAGTCCAAGGCTTCTAAGTTTACTGCTGCTCACTAGAAATATCTAGAAAGGGCTAACTTTATAAAGACTCGTGAGTGATTCCTTTGCTGTCCTGCTGGAATAAGTGTTCTTTTCAATAAGAACATAAAAACCCATGAGTTAGTCAAACTAAGGTAATTAAGGAGACTACTATAAAATTTTGACTAGGAGAATACCTGGCACATGCACAGCTAAAATTTGCTTTATGAAGTTTATCAGACATTTAAAAATTAAACCAAAACAAGTGAAGAAGGAGCAGGGAAAGAGGAGAGGAGGGAAAAATTGCTACTTACCTTCCGTACAGACACCCTGCAAACACAAGTATCCAGAATCCCCGTTGTGGCACTGGCACTGATTTTGCACATAAATAAGAACTTTTTCTTCCAGCGGACACAGTTTGCTTGTACTACCTCTCTGCAAATAGAGAACATATCCTTAGTATTAGTTGCATATACGCTTAGGACATAAAATGCAATAGAACAGCTCAAAAACAAACACTGGTTCCACTGTTTGTAGAGTGATCACTTCATGTAAAACCTGTTCCAAGGCCTGAATAATCATCCTTCATTCTTCTCTTTGTGTAAGCGAGACTAATAACTGTTTCAAACCTTGAACACAAAATGAGACCTACAGAAAAATTCAACAGCCATGTGTTTTTGCAAATGAATGAGACCATGATTTCTTCAGGTTGTCTCAGGAGAGTGACGTTTTCCTGAACATTAGCTCCCAGGCACAGTCTTCCAAGCTGCCGAACTTTGGAATGGCCTCAAGATACCATCTTTGACAAGCAGTTCTTCAATACAGAGAAAGGGATCATCATACAAGCAGAATTAGATACATTTGAAGCCTGGAAAATTACAAAGGAAATGATGCACAAATAACCAAATACAAAGTAATGCACTTGGGCCAAACAAGAATTTCAGCTACATACTGGGAACTTGCCATTTGAGAGCAATTTAAGACAACTAATATCTGAACAGATTTGTTCATCACAGGAGGATTACAACCTGACAGTATGATTCAGCTGAGAAAAAGGCAAAATGTAGGATTCTTTCAGCTATATTAATTTCATTACATAAGGCTCAAATGGAACCCATCATTCTGTTTGGGAAACTCTGGTTGAACAAGAACAGACTCCAAAATGAACAGGGAGAACAACTAGAAAACTCCTGTAACTTGTAAGGAAAAATTACATATAATAAAAATACACTAGTGATTCAAACACTTTAGAGACCAAATAACTAAGTCAAATAAGAAGTGGTTAGGACCAAAATAAGGCATAATCAAACACCCACTTAAAACTGAAAATTACAAGGTATCAAACCGCAGAGCAAGTTTGTAGAACAGCTTTCAAATAAGAGAAGTAGGAAGAAAAAAAATCTTACTGTAAGTAAAGACAAGGATGGTCAGTTTGTCAATAAGAAGGGACATAAGGACTGTGATTCTGAGGAACATGCCTCAGTTTTCGAAAACTTTTTTTAGTCTCAAGTTTCTAAACTCAACTCGGAACTGTGGAGAAACTGTGATGATTTCTTCTACCACTCTAATCATTCAAGTACAGTCTTCACATATTAAAACAGTATGTGTCCTTTTCTTTCTCTTCCATTTTTCTAATACATACATTCCTATGTTTTATATTAACTTCTTACAGCAGCTTATTATTGAAGATCCAGTCTGACATCTTTAACAGAGGTAGAATTCTACAGTTCCATATAAGCTGGAGTCAGAGTTTATCACACTTGTGGAGAAATGATAAACCATAAGGCTCACGCAAAAGCTCTGATTTGCTGTGCTTACTGGCACCGTGACTTCCTAAGGTGGGAATAAACTAGCCTGCCTAAAATGAGTCAGTTTAATGACCACAACAGACTAACAGATTCTGATGATACAACACTGAGTCATATTCCAGCATATGACCTAAAAGGAACAGGCTCTGTACACCATGATCTGCCTTTTTATCTGTTACATTTTACGTTGTCAACTTTCCAGTGCTTTGGAAAAGAAAAATCCCAAACTGCCAGTATATGAGTTATTTAAATCCAGAATAGAACCAGAATTTTTAAAAAAAAGCAAATTACAAGCAGTTACATCCTCTACTGCAAACAGGCAAAAAGTCATCAGGAAAAATACAACCTTAAAGGGGATATTTGATGACTGCTAACATTTGTTACACTTAGAAGGCTTAGGAATAACTACTGTAGCACTTAATGTGATAGTTGCTAACCTCTCAGGTAAAGCAAATAGTCAACTAAATGTCCACGGTCAAGCAGAACACAGCTATCTAAGTGCATGGGTACCTGGGGCTTGCATATTTGCAGGTTTCATACACGATGCTTAAAGATAATGTAACTCCCGAGAACACTCTGTTTTTCTGCAGATGAGAGTGGTCCAGCCTTACTCAAAGTAACTTGGAAATGAAATCTCCAGAACTGATTTTCTTAGGTTCTTTTTTTCTAAGTAACATTTTGAGCTTAACCTAAAACCAGAAAAATAGAAGTCCTTCTTCTTTCTTAAAAACACCAGCACATCAAAACCAGTTTTACCACAGGAAAAAAAGGCGAAAAACCTTCTTCATGAGCTGTCTAGCTACAAATTTTTGCTTCAGATTGAGAAGGGATATTTATGTCACTATCTTAAGTCATTAAATTCACTGCAGTACTCTGATCCTTCTGCCAACAGTTCTATCAGGGCAAATTGAGAAAGCTAGATACTTATAAACCAATACCAATGTCCTCTTGCAAGCACCAGAAGGAACAGGCCTGCACTGATACTGAAAGACAACAGACTTACGGCTTCAACCTTGCTGGTAGCTACCCTAACTTTCAGGAACCTGTTAGACTAAAAAGACTGAGCAGGAAGGTGATCTTGAAGGCAGATTAATTTAAGTGATGTGGTTGGTCAAGATTTTCTTTCACTAAAACCATCACATTTTGACACACTGGTAGTATTCCTCACAAAAGAACCCCAAATGTATAGACACAAAAAATTCCCAGAATCAGATTTTATATCTAGTTTCAGCACAGAGTAAGAATCTCCGTTTTAACACACCACTATAATTAAGAAACTTATACAGTAAAGGAATAACTAAAAATGCTGTTGCCTAAACAAAGTGATGGTTGTAGCTGGATGTGTGTTTTACCGGACTTTGAAGAATTACTGGAATTAAATCTTACCAGAAATATCTAATCAATACTAAAATTCGTGCAATTATACAAACCTTTATTAAGTTTATAAAAGCAAGAATTCTTCATGATCCTTTGACTTAGCCTCCTCCTGCATTCTGTCTCTAGTTCCAGATCAAGTTATATCAGCTATGGCCATGAATTCACAAGGAGCCTGCATTTGCATATTACTATGCATCCAATAGTATCCGCAAAACAATTCCAGCCTCGAGTGTCATTTTGAAAACCAGAAGCAATGTAGATTTTCTGCTATTCATTATAAAGCCATAAAACAATGCTGCAAGACTGAAAGCATTCACTTGTCATCCATAGAGGTCAGAAAATCCCTTCTCAGAGCATTTGTTCAGCATATAAGTAGGACAGTTGTCATCACCCTTACCACTCTTCCCTTATCACACAGGGTACCACTGGGACTACTAGTAACAGAATCACTTCTCTTCATCATTTTGCTAAGATCTTGTAGAGTTTTTACATCTGTAACATTTCCAGTTAATAAATAGTTTTTCCTATTAAAAAGTGTTTCTCTAAACTCATAAGGTCAAAACAGTGTTTGTACAACTCAGTATTCCGGTTCAGGTTGTGTTTCTGCTTCTCAGAACAGCTTTCTACTGCTACAGCAAACTACAGTCAAAGCAGCTTTATATTGTACAGTTACATAGTATTCCAGACATCACTAACATTATAGTAAAAGATAATTCAGTGAATATTAAAGTAACAAGATACAATGTAAGTGTTCTTAAAACCTTTAAGGATTTTGAATTTATTTCAACATACCAATACTACTATATGTATATCATTGTTCCAGTAAGGAAGATAGCACAAAAACACTATGCCTTCATAAGACTCAATCCCTTCATATCACAGGTCAGGATTTATTCAGGCAAATAATTTAATAGCCATTAAATAGGATGATCAGTTTTAAGTTCTCTTACAAACAAGAAAGTAAAAGTTATAGTAAAAAGGCATCAGTAATAGATACTGATACTCTAATTCTTGTAAAAATAAAATCAAGTAAAACCAGGAATACACCTTCCTCCTCATAAGGATATCAAAAAAGTATCATTAGTTTCTTTCACTGGCACATTGTTTTAAAAAACAAGATATTTGAAACTTTTGTATGCAATCTGCAAAAAAAAACCCAACCCAGACAGTTCTTCCAATTCCATTATATAAACAAAAATTGGACATATTTTAATGAAGGTAATTTTTGTGTAAAGAAAAGCACTAGCAAGTTGTTAGCCTTGTGCTGAAAAAAACAGTCAAATAATCAGAACATTTAACTTTGAAGAGTAATATCTTAAGTTTATGAGAGTCTTAGTCCAAGTGCAAGGCCTTTAGAAAATAAACAGTTACATTGATTGGTTACTATGGAAATGAACCCAGATAACTTCTTGGCAACTGTGCCTGTGCTACAGTGCATGCTAGAGAAAGCTTTCCGTTATGAGTCAGTTTCCTATGAGCCTCACACTCACTCTACCACATGCAAAGCAAAACCAGTTGTTTTATGAATCAAAATAGATCTTTGTTACTAAGATGCATTCAAATACATACTAGGTCGTAATGCTTCAGTGTAACTTGATGAATGCATCTCTAAGACCTAACCATTAATAAATTGAATAGACAGATACTTTAGAGATAAATTGATTCCAAAGTATAGTTTGTTACCATCAGTTTAACAATTTGTTTTCTTCTTTAGAGAGACAATTTCACATTGACTAAATTTCAAATGCAATATTTCTGCTATAGATGTCTTTTTCTGTATGTATTTTATGTACTGTACACAGTTGCCATTAGAATGATGAATAAAAGTCTTGGGTTTTCTCTTTTGGTCCACAAAAGAGAAAATCAACAAGAAAACTAACACAAAAGGAACAACAAATCCTAATACAGTCAACTCCTCATCTTAATTTGTAAACAAGTGATGGGCACTTTTTTTCTTTTTTTTTTTTTGAAAGGTGTTTATGACCAGCAGATAGTTTGTTCATTTTCACATGGGTAAAGGATATGAATAATGGCTTGTTTCAGCAAATAGCTACAAACACACAAAAAAAATCACTTTTAAGGACCTTAAGTGTCATGAGAAAAATCCCTTCTTGGAGAAGCTTTAGCAAGAGAGGCTTAGAAATAAAGAAGCCAAAACTCCTTGTGAGCATTTACCAAAATACTGTGTTCCATTAATTAGAGAATTGTTTATTCAAGTTTTTATCTGAATTATTCTAGACAGCTAATTAT